ATGAGATTTTTTGCTTAGTATATTTATCAACCTTTTCTGAACACATTCATGATTTAATTTTGGAAGCAGTTAGTCCAAAAAATGTGTTTTTAAACGTTTTAAAACGGTACCTGTACTATTTTTATCTGCTATCGCGTAACCTGTCAATTATCGATAACGCTCCGCCCCCTGTTGAGGCATCAATGAGGGAAATCGGTAGTTCCATATATGCGTGAATTACCGGTCCATACTGGTCCATACTACTCGTAATTCATGTATCGTACAAATACCGTACATCTTTTATGAATATCGACTACCTTTTATTTAGCCTTTTTTATAAAATAAGAAATTGTCGGCCAATGTACGTAACATAATGTATGAAACATAAATAATTAAGCATAGCGGCAAATCGCACGACCACGGGGTTGATTAAAAATATAGTTGCTAAAATATCCATAATGTGTGAAAATAATTTGTCTGTCCCGTTAATCTGATAGATATTACATTGAGTTTATGGACTTTTGTACGGATTCAAGGGCTTGCTTTACATTCAACCTCGTTTTCTAACAATGTCAAGTAAAACAACAACAAAAACAGACAACATTTTTTATGTGAACGCCTATATGACTTGTGGTAAGGTCTCCCTGTCTAAGGATGATTATTTCTCTATGAATCAATAAAAAAAGATAATAAAATAAATTATCAGTGAATGCTTTGAATAAATTGTTCGCTAGTAAATCGAACACAGTACTAATAAACCTGGGAGAAAGTTTGGAATTTATTGTATATCCCAGTAGAAACTGGATCTCTATGCCGTGCATAGATGATTTTCATGATAATAGAAGTCAAGAAGGTCAGATCATAATGATCGAGTGATAGCTTTTATTTCTATTAAAATATGTGAAGCATTTATATCAATTTGGAGGAAAAAATATATAAAATCCCGTTCTTATTTGTACATCTACCATGGACTTTAAAATACTGTCAGAAGCTCAGTTTTTTTGTTATTTTAATTTATATTTTAACGGAATTTCATACACGAGTACACAGATAGAGTGACACTGGTATAATATAATAATAATAATGCTGATGATAATAATAATAAACTTCAAATGTGAAACAATTAAATACCCCGCTAGCGGTGCACAAATACGTCCCATTTTCCCCCACCGAGTGCCTCAAATTTTACCGAAAGTCACGTGATATGTGCAACCGATACCAGACTAACGGTAAATCACGTTAAGATGTGAAGAAATTTCTGTTATAAACTGATATTAATCAGCAACTTTTTAATTGGTCAGATGTCACTGGGTCATAAAATGTTGTTAGTGTATGTTACCGCAACTTGTGACCCTCTCTGGTGCGATATTTGTGTATTATGTAATTATTTAGCGTGAAACGTAGGGGTCCGAGAGAGAACAGCCAATTTATGACACTTCGTTTGATGCGGATCGGACTAACTTTGAATCGGCATAACTTTTTTAATAATCAAGCAATTAACATGCGGTTTAAAGCACATGAAAGGGAATTCATTTACGGAGGGAACCGTGTCAGGGATTTTTGTTTGCTCAATCAGCGACTTAATTATCTTTAATTACGTAATATGTATGGTGAAAAAAGTCGCATAAAATGTTTGACGTTACGTAATATTTTTTTGAGAAAAGATAGACAAAATTTGAGACACGGTTCCCCAGATATTATAAGTATGTTTATTTTCCAAAAGTTTGATGACAAAAAAATAAAAAATGACTTTGATATGGCGATTTAAAATTTTAGGATTTTTATTAAAAATCAATCATTTACAAAGACATTTTTTTCAAATATGTTATTTTTTATGATGATCAACGACATTTAATGCACAAAGATTAAATAAATAACAATTATTACTAAAATAAGTTGGTTTAAATGACATTTATGTGATTACCACGGAAAGTGTCTGTTGTCACCTTAACAAAATATAATTATTATGTCGTATTTAGTGCAAATATGAAATAAAGTGATTTCTGTTTCCTTATTTGTTGTTCGTATAATTGTATAAGTAATATTGAACAAAAATAAATAATGTGCTAATTGTTATAGTTAATAAGCTTTTATTACATTATAAACAACATGTTTCCACAGATATCCATTAAACTGATAATTTATCGAGATCGATATGCCCCAAGGTCATATTAAAATCGATTTCACACGCGACGTGTCATTCTTGATTTATCTATGACAAAATACAATAAACAGTCAAAAATATGTTATTAAAATGCTGACCATATTGTAGAGTCTGCTGAAAAGTTAGATATATAGAGAAAAATATATTTAAATGCTACGAAATTGTTACTCATTATGCAAATTTAATATATTTTATAAAATAATGTCGACATTTAATTAAGTAAAAACACTGCTGACCAATTTAATGTTAATTCAAATTGATTTAAGCCGTAAAACTCTCTTATTCTATATGGTCAGCAAATTTAACGCTCTTTACATTCAGGCGAGAAAATGCTGACCAGTTAAACATATAGTAGAATCTGCTGACCAGTTAGATATATAGGGAAACTGCTGACCAGTTAGATATATAGAGAAAAATATATTTTGCCGTGAAATTGTAATTCATTTTATAATGTATGCAAATTCAATATATTTTATAAAATTATGTCGACATTTAATTAAGTAAAAACACTGCTGACCAATTTAATATTATTTCAAATTGATTTAAGCCGTAAAAGTCTTCTTATTCTATATGGTCAGCAAATTTAACGCTCTTTACATTCAGGCGAGAAAATGCTGACCAGTTAAACATATAGTAGAATCTGCTGACCAGTTAGATATATAGGGAAACTGCTGACCAGTTAGATATATAGAGAAAAATATATTTTGTCGTGAAATTTTAATTCATTTTATAATGTACGAAATTCAATATATTTTATAAAATTATGTCGACATTTAATTAAGTAAAAACACTGCTGACCAATTTAATATTATTTCAAATTGATTTAAGCCGTAAAAGTCTTCTTATTCTATATGGTCAGCAAATTTAACGCTCTTTACATTCAGGCGAGAAAATGCTGACCAGTTAAACATATAGTAGAATCTGCTGACCAGTTAGATATATAGGGAAACTGCTGACCAGTTAGATATATAGAGAAAAATATATTTTGTCGTGAAATTTTAATTCATTTTATAATGTACGAAATTCAATATATTGTATAAAATTTTGTCGACATTTAATTAAGTAAAAACACTGCTGACCAATTTAATGTTAATTCAAATTGATTTAAGCCGTAAAACTCTCTTATTCTATATGGTCAGCAAATTTAACGCTCTTTACATTCAGGCGAGAAAATGCTGACCAGTTAAACATATATAGTAGAATCTGCTGACCAGTTAGATATATAGGGAAACTGCTGACCAGTTAGATATATAGAGAAAAATATATTTTGCCGTGAAATTGTAATTCATTTTTATTATGTATGCAAATTCAATTTATTTTATAAAATTATGTCGACATTTAATTAAGTAAAAACACTGCTGACCAATTTAATGTTATTTCAAATTGATTTAAGCCGTAAAACTCTTCTTATTCTATATGGTTAGCAAATTTAACGCTCTTTACATTCAGGCGAGAAAATGCTGACCAGTTAAACATATACACATGTAGTAGAATCTGCTGACCAGTTAGATATATAGGGAAACTGCTGACCAGTTAGAAATATAGAAAAAAATATATTTTGTCGTGAAATTTTAATTCATTTTATAATGTACGAAATTCAATATATTGTATAAAATTTTGTCGACATTTAATTAAGTTAAAACACTGCTGACTTATTTAATATTAATTCAAATTGCAATTATTGCTTTTGAAAATACATTTTTTTTCCGTTACAAGATTTTTCTATTGAAATATCACTAACAAGAGATTTTGATAAAACTCATAACATCATAATTCTTTATAAAACATTAATTCAAATTTTTGCATATCTTTATAGGTATAAAAAGCTGTTTAAATATATCCTTTTAAAATCACGGATTTATATTACATGTAGTAATGTAAATCCGTGTTTAAAATGTATGATATTATGGTACTTTAAATGTATATATTAATTTAGTTTATAAACATAGTCATATAAATGCAAAAATTAAAAATATAATTAAAAGAATAAAAGTAATTTCCCATCTTTTTATTACCCCCTACGGCGTGTTTATATAACTTCACACCTTCAATGATTCCCTTCTTTGTGTAACTGGTCAGCATTTTCCGATAATCCTTCTTTATTTAACTGGTCAGCAGTTTCCTATATATCTATATCGTCAGCTAATTCGTCAGCAGTTTAGTGCGACCCCTTCCATGATCGCACCGTTTGTCGGTGAGTTAGTAAATTCTGACCAAGCACCGGTAGACGCACGACAATGCGATACGATATTATTCCAAATGTCGCCTCGCATTGTCGAGTGTCGCTTCGCGTTGTCGACTATCGCTTCGCGTTGTCGAGTGTCGCTTCGCATTGTCGAGTGTCGCTTCGCAATGTTGAGCGTCGCGGTGTAAAAATCATAAAAATAACGCGACATTTACTCGACATTTTTAAAATGTCGCTTCGCGATGTCGAGTGTCACTTCGCATTGTCGAGCGTCGTATCGCATTGTCGCGTTGTCGTTTCGCATTGTCGAGTGTCGTGGTATGCACTTCTACCAACCTCGACACTCGACAATGCGAAGTGACAATGCGACAACGCGAAGTGACATCGCGACAACGCGAAGTGACATCGCGACAACGCGAAGCGACGCTCGACAATGCGAAGCGACACTCGACAACGCGAAGCGACATTTCTTAAATGTCGCCCTTTTTTACCGCGACATTTCTAGGCGACAGTGCGACATATCGTTTGACACTGTCGAGCGTCGCTTCGCATTGTCGCATATCGCTTCGCGTTGTCGAGCGTCGCTTCGCATTGTCGCGATGTCACTTCGCATTGTCGTGTGTCTACCCTTAGACGCGACGGACGACATTCTAAATGGCACGATAAGGACACCGTATCTATGAGATAATTGTACTGTTTGTAGCCATCGGCTCGGAAACCAAATATCTGAAAGATACAGCATGTACACATTTACTGCATAGAAAATTTATTCAAAGAAAATATATATTTACTAAGGTACTAACACGTAATTTTCACGTTTATAGTAATTGTTAAAGAAACGAAAAAGTTTAGAGTGTATACATGAAAATAGATAATTAGCACTTAGATTGAAAGTCATACCTGCACTTTTCTCGACTGAATGAAAAATATGGGTCCCTTTTCTTGTGCATGATGTGGCAACTTAACATACTGACTGACGTCAAACGTATAATGTACGTCATTTGTAGAAAAGTTATCATCGGCAGCCTGGTTGTGTTGTTCCCGATTTACAAACATTGATTTTGATTTTTCTACAAGTTCCATGTAAAGGTCACGTTCCTTTCTTACTTGCAGCACATGTTGATGGTATTTCAAGGTTGCCTCTATCTTGTCGTTTTCACCCTGGGCAAGCTTAATATCCTGTTTACAGACCTCACAGGCTTTACACACATCCTCTTTCGGCGAGGATATTTTATATAGGGCACACACGTTTCCCATATATCTTTAAATGTTGATAAACCAACTTCCCAACTTCCGTACAGCGTGAAACGTAATCACTGTGCACTGAATGCATTACATCAGACGACGGTAAATATATAGGGGCCTCATCACCCCCCCCCCCCCCCCTTAGTACTGCAGGCTGAGGCAATCCCTCCTAACTCGCGTAACTCAGTATACCAGTTTATTTAATTTTACCCATGCAATATGGTGCTATTTCAGTCAAATATATTTCATATTTTTTTAAAATAAATATGAAATATAAATATGAAAGTGGGTGGAGTTAAAACTCATATTTATTTTAAGGGACTTCTTTCGCCGGTTTGTTTGAAAAATCTGATGAATACAAAACAACTTTTTCTTGAATTTTGTTTTGAAAACTATCTAGCATGATAGAAAATGGTCTAACTAAGAAAATTAATCCGAACACCAATATCTTTAATTCAGTAATCAACGCTGTACAGACGTGTTAAGAGTTTTTTTACATGACGTCACAATGTAGCGCCAAACAGCGCGTGCTTACGCATATATTACTGCGCGCTGTACAATAGCAGTTGGTAGCAAGCAAGGGAATTCGTTACCATTTTCTTTGATAATGAAATTAAATAAAAAGTTTTTTTTTTTATGTTTTTCGTGAAATATGGTATATATTTTCACTCAACATGATAAAATGCCACATATTTTCACTCGCCGTACCGGCTCGTGAAAATATGTGGCATTTTATCATGTTTCATGAAAATATATACCATATTTCACGCAAACGAAAAAATATCCTCTTAATAAACTTAACTGCATCTTTAATTACGTCTGGAGGTTAGGCATTCTGTATGACTGCGCACAGTTTTCTTCCATATTGCGTCTGATATTTCTCAGTTGCCTGTCTTTTATATTAAATACCACCAGAATGATTTCAAGGCACACTTTTACTCCATCAATAAACATTCATAACGGGAGCGTTTGCGTCTACTTTACATCTTATGTCAGAGCTTATTTTTTAAGGGTGCCCATTATTAGCATTTCCTTCTCATTTTTGTCATTTCCCATAGATTAAGAATATTTGCTTCGATCAGAGGAAAGAAAAGTTACTGAATCAGTTTTAGTACATTTACAGCCAGTGTCATAAATGTGTTTCAGATTGTCGATGCTCTGCGGATCATCACTATTTTGGTACGTGTCAGCATTACCTTGATTGTCTGCATTAACAGAATCCAAAACAAGACCAGCTGTAAAATATATGTTGAGATGTGACTCAATGGATATATAGCTGGTGCCTCTATAGCTTAATTTTCACTTTCATTCGGGTGGTTACAGAATTACATGTGTCTGACTGATGTGATAAACCGAAACTTGACAGTTCTAAGATCATCCAGCTCATGTAAAAAAGAAAAAGAAAAAAATAATCTCATTACATAATATTGATAAGAAGTTACCTTTATTTTTTAAATGTAATTTAAAAAAGGGCGGCAGTTATGAGAATCGAACCCACGACCATTGAAAAATTTATATGGTTGAAATCTGCACCATGTAATAGAAACTCTGCCTTTGTTATTGTATTTTATGTCATGCAGCATGTTAAGAAACGTGGTCATGTACCAATAATAGTAAAGGTTGATGCAGGGGTTGAAAGCTGTACGTAATAGAACCTTCAGATCGCATTCAGATAGTATGTCAGAGAAAATTCTGTTGGGAGATCAAGTGCAAATCAATGAATTGAAATGCTTTGGATTTTTTTTCTCGAGAAACTTTACTTTTTATTGGTGTAACCTCTTTAAAGATTAGATTGGTTAAACCTATATGATAATACAGTTCAGTTGCATATCGAATGTCTTAGATTATGGCATGTTAAACGTTGCATTATTCAATATATTTAATTTTTGGTCTATAACCACTATCTATATTGTATAACTCTAATTTTATATGTTATACTGTATCCTACTAAAATTTTTTGTTCGTCAAAATCCGAGCCATAATATGGCCGTTCACTACTGAATTTTACTTTATGTTTGAGTGTTCTACCGGAAACACCTAGTGAGACTGGAGCTCACATGTGTACGTTTCCAACTTATTACACGCACACTTTTGCAATTCACTGCCATTTTTGCTTACACTTTGACGTGGGGACGCCACTTTTGCTCATTTTAGGTTAAAACTCGTACGTTGTATGCAAAACGGCCCCTTATTGCACCAGCATTACATCATATGTATTATACATGCACCAAAACAACCATAATTTGGAATTTTTGAAAATTGTTATTGCCTTTTCATAGTAGATTTGACCAAAAAAAAATGATTACAATGCAGACGACGGTGGATTAGATTGCAACGCAGTGCGGTGGTCCCGATACCATTAATGTCAATTGTGAGGGTTTAACTTGACATAACGCATTTTTTAATTTAGAACAATTCTTTTCTTATGTTGACATCAGAGAAACGCTTTCTTGTAGTGTTTAAAACAATATGATTATATATTACTAGCTGCCGGTAAAACTGCACTCCAGTTAACGCACCATGACTGTATACATATACATGTACGATTGAACTATGACAAAAGTCCCCAAACTATGATACAAGTATAATTGGTGTCCTCAGCATGGTAATATAACACAGTGACATTCAAAACTGAGATTGATTTTTAAGAAACATGTTATGTTAATCTTTACAGAATTTCTTCTTTTATATGTTTGTTGCTCAAGGCCTTTTAAGTCCCAGGTTGAACGTAAACTATTCTACTTAAGGAATAACAATGGAAGGAAAATGGAAGTGCAACTTATACATCTATTTGCATAAATAATCATATTATTTTAATCAAACTAAAGAAACACGTTTCTCTGATGTCAAAGTAAGAAAAGTGTTGTACTCTATTGAAAAATGAGTTATGTCAAGTAAACCCTCATATTGACAAATGCACTGCGTTGCAATCAAATCGACCGCCGTCCGCGTGGTAAACAATTTTTGTCAATTCTTCCATAAAAAAGGCAATAACAATTTTCAAAAGTTACAAAATATGGTTGTTTAGTGCATTTATCATACAAACCATGTAATGCGAAGGATTCTAATGCGAAATACATATGCGCGTGCGCACGTAATAGCTAGCGCGTGCGCACGTGATAGCAACGCATGGTCACGGAAAAGCTATCGTGTGAGCACGTAATAAATAAGAAAATTCTATGTCCCCTTGATGGTACTATGGTCAAAGACGATGTTACGATGGTGAAAAAACGATGTTCAATACGATATGATGAAACTGCGATTGCATGATGATGAAAACGCGATATTATTTTCTCTATAGTGTCATCGCATCATCGTGATTTCACAATCTTGTTTAGTTTAATCATATTTTATTGCTTTTACATTTTATACAAAAACAGATACATTGTCACATGTAAACATTCTACAAAACAGTAACGAATACATTTACAGTTATTACATGGATATTATAGTTATAATAAAAAAGCAATCTTGTCATCGTGTTTTAATCATCGTACCATCTACGTACCATCTCAATTTCACCTTTGTACCATTGTGCATAGCTGTTCAGGGAGACAAAATAAACGGAACAGCGTAATCGGTTGATATTGAATGATATAATATCGTGACTCGTTTCGCATCTCGCCGAAACATCTCGCGAAATCTCGCGTCTCGCTTCGCATCTCGTGTGAGCACGTAATAAATAAGAAAATTCTATGTCCCCTTTATGTCACCTAAGATACTACCTTGTTTTTGCTAAAAATATTTCTAGTGCCATAAAGCATTTATAAAACTTTAAGTTTCTAAGGTAACAATAGTTTAAGAATATCGAAAACATATCTAATGTCAATTTATTACATTTGTAGAGGTAAAAAATAAAAATTGAAAAGTATTGTTTAGATGAGAATATATATCTGACTAGAGCTATACGTAAGGTGATAAATAACCCCACTATGGTGGGCTTTACCTACGAAACGATTACTTTTTGATAATCCATAATTCAATCGAACGAAGGTATTTCGTTTTTTGTTGGATTTTGTTGTTAATGTTGTTTTTTTTTTTTTTGGTTTTTGTTGTTTTTTTTTTTTTTTTCGAAATGGTAGAAGGACTCATGCATGTCTGCAATAAAACATTTTAATTAGTCTTAAGTAAACACAGCTTTGTTTATAAATTCACCTTTAAGAACAAGATAGATGCAAAACTGTATGTATCAAACAGAGACAGTCCATTCCTTAGGAATAAGGCTTTCATTGTTGTATATATAGATTAATAGTATTTCTATACCATGAACTACCAAACATTCCACATGCTTTGAAAGTGGTCGGTTTTCAACCAGTTTTCTTTATAATTTGATCTGGTATGTATAAAAAATGAAAGCTGTCACTATTAGATCATCTTATATACATAACATTGAAATTTAAATCTGTTCCAAATAAAGAAGTAGCACTTGGTGGCACATTCAGAATAAAAAAGTTTTAACAGGTTTAGTAATTTCATGTGGACAGAACTTAGATAATAGCTATCAACTTAGCACATTTTCACAATGAGGCAAACACTGTTGCTGACCTGTCGCACGCATGCCGCAAAAAGGAAGGAAACACGGTAACAGAATGGAATTTCTTGGTCTATTCATGCATATGGTACATATGTCTGGCTGTACTGGTTCTAGGTCTGCCCGAAAAGTAATCTGTTCCATAAAACACTTCAATGAGACTAAAGACAAATCATTGAACTTTCAGTACCTGTTTATTTTTATGAGCACGACAATCAGTAAGGATTGATTTGAGACATTTTCGTTTCCTGTACATTTTAAAGCACTGAAAATGATTACTTTGGCTTTCAAAGTTTTATGATGACTTTGTGAAGATAAAATGAAGTACAAGAGGGCCATTATGGCCCTGAATCGCTCAGCTAGCTGCTCTAAGGCATAAGGGCAAATACCAGATTTATATTACCCCCAAATAGAGGTTCTCATTAAGATTATTGTGTTCAAGTTAGACTAAAATATTCTCATTGATATCAAAGATAGGTGTAAATTTGAAATGTTGACAGTGACGGAAACTA